TTTTCTGATATCCAGCTACAGCATAAACTGCATAAGCCAGCGCTGCCCATAACATCATTCCTTGTCTTGCCATGTTCACCACTTGTTAAAACTGAAAAAGAAAATAATTTGAAGGTTAGAATCTTTTTTTTCTTATCAAGTACATTCATAAGGGGATTAAGGTTTAGGCTTAAGAAACAGCATTAATATTATGTTGGCTCACAAAGTTTATGCTGTATACAGTTAAAGAAAACTTTCCTTTTTTTTATTTCGCATTTGAGGATATTTGTTACGACATGAAGTATAAAGAGAAGGAAGCCTCAGGTGCAATGCTATATTTTTAATGTATTCAAAATTCTTGCATTTAGCGAGCTGTTGTTCAATCTGTTTTATTTCTGGATCACTGCGTTGTTGTCAGGATGAAATATCTGCCATTTTCTAAGATAAAATATAAAGTTATTTTTCTGGCAGAAGCTCATATTTTTCAATATATTGTCTCTATTTTCTAACATGTTGCTATATTGACATACAGATGTATCTTGAGTTATTTGCAATTTTTCTTACAGCATTCACGACAAGCTTTGGTTTGCCAATTTTTGCTCACTGTATCTTCCACTGGAAACACAATATATGGATGCTATACTGAATAAAAACAGCATTTCTGGCAAAAGTAAAAATGCTTATGACTATTGAAAAAGTGAAAATTGCTTTAACCACTAGCCTACTGGGCACTTTTACCCCCTTCCTTCCCAGGCCAATTTTCAGCCTTCAGCACTGTCACATTTTGAGTGACAATTATGCAGTCATGCAACACTGTACCCAAACAAAATGTTTATCATTTTTTTTGAGACAGATAGAGCTTTCTTTTGGTGGTATTTAATCACAACTGGGATTTAAATTTTTTGTTAAACAAACTAAAAAAGACAGAACATTTTGAAAAAAAAAGTTTTTTTCTTAGTTTTCTGTTATAAAATTTTGTAAATAAGTAATTTTTCTCCTTCACTGATGTGCGCTAATGAGGCTGCAGTAATGGGCACTGATAGTTGTCACTGATGAGGAGGCACTGGTAGGTGGCATTGACAGGCATCACTGGTGGGCATTGACAGGCATCACTGATGAGCACTGAAAAGCAGCACTCATATACAGTTGTGTCCAAAATTATTCAACCCCCACTGAAATTGAGTGTTTTGGCCAGTTTGACATTGCTTTTGATCATTCAGTCATCTTGCTTACATTTACATTAAAGAGGCACTTGTAGGTCAGACAAATATAACATAACAGTTATAATGAAATAACCACAAATGTCTTTTCTGTGCTCACAGCATTATCAGTTTTATTCAACCCCCAAGTGACATTCAATCTTAGTACTTAGTACAGCATCCTTTTACAGTTATAACAGCTTTTAAACGTGAAGCATAGCTTGACACAAGTGTCTTGCAGCGATCTACGGGTATCTTCGCCCATTCTTCATGGGCAAAGGCCTCCAGTTCAGTCACATTCTTAGGCTTGCGCACTGCAACTGCTTTCTTTAAGTCCCACAGAGGTTCTCAATCGGATTTAAGTCTGGTGACTGCGATGGCCACTCCAAAATGTTCCAGCCTTTCCTCTGCAACCATGCTCTAGTGGACTTGGAGGTATGCTTGGGATCATTGTCCTGTTGAAAGGTCCAACGTCTCCCAAGCCTCAGGTGTGTGACGGACTGCATCACGTTTCCATCCAATATCTCCTGGTACTGAAGAGAATTCATGGTACCTTGCACACGCTGAAGCTTCCCTGTACCTGCAGAAGCAAAACAGCCCCAAAGCATGATTGACCCTCCACCATGCTTCACAGTAGGCAAGGTGTTCTTTTCATCATAGGCCTTGTTCTTCCTCCTCCAAACATAGCGTTGATCCATGGGCCCAAACAGTTCTAATTTTGTTTCATCAGTCCACAGAACACTATCCCACAACTTTTGTGGTTTGTCCACATGGCTTTTGGCATACTGCAGTCGACTCTTCTTATTCTTTGGAGACAGCAAGGGGGTACGCCTGGGAGTTCTGGCACGGAGGCCTTCATTACGCAGTGTGCGTCTTATTGTCTGGGCTGAAACTTCTGTACCCACATCTGACAAATCTTTTCTCAGTTCCTCAGCAGTCACACGGGGACTTCTCTCCACTCTACGCTTCAGGTAGCGCACAGCAGTCGAAGTCAGCATCTTCTTTCTGCCACGACCAGGTAGCGTTTCAACAGTGCCCTTTGCCTTGAATTTGCGAATGATGCTTCCTAAGGTGTCTCTTGGTATGTTTAACATCTTTGCAATCTTCTTATAGCCATTGCCCTTCCTGTGAAGAGAAATCACCTCTTCTCTTGTCTTCCTGGACCATTCTCTTGCCTTCACCATGTTTGTAACCACACCAGTAAATGTCTAGAAGGAGCTGAGTATCACAGTCATTTTAAAGCTGCCTAATTGGTGCTTATTATGCTTGATTGCTGCTCGGTGACATCCACAGGTGTTTTCAATACCTGATGGAAAGCACCTGTATGAAACCTCTGTTCTTCAGAGTGGTAGTCTTTAAGGGGTTGAATAATTGTGGCAATGAAGAAACCACATAAGAACCATTTACTACTGTATTACATAAACAATTGATGTCATTTTAGTTGCATTTGGGTAGTTACAACGTCCTTGTAGGATTTGATTCTGAATACAATTCCAAATGTACACTATAGTCCCTAAACCCCTTTACAGCATTGGGGGTTGAATAATTTTGGACACAAACTGTATGGCACTAATGGGTGGCACTGATGGGAACTGATAGACGGCACTGACAGGTAGCACTGACTGACACTGATAGGCAGCACTGACTGGCACTGACAGTTGTCACTGAAAGGCAGCTCTGATAGGCACTGGTATGTGGCATTGATGTGCACTGGTAGGCCCTGATATGTGGCATTGATGTGCACTGATGGGTACTGGTATGTGGCATTGATGGGCACTGACAGGTGGCATTGATGGGTACTAACTGACAGGTTAGCACTGACGGGGCTACACTGATCATCAGTGCCCTGATGATCAGTGTAGATGTCCCCTCTGAGGAATCCCACTTATCGGCTCTCCTCTCCTCATGCGATGTCAGCGTGAGGAGAGGACTGCCGATAACCATCATTTCCTTGTTTACATGTGATCAGCTGTGATTGGACACAGCTGATCACATGACAGAGCCTGTGTCATTGGCACTTTACTGTGATTGGTGATCCACTGTGTCCCAGGAACACAGCGCACCACTGATTGCCGTGCACCCCCGGGGGCGCACATGCGCAGTTAGAGTAGGAGGATGTCACATGACGTCTGCCCAGAACGAGATGAGAACCAATGCCTTCCCATCATTTCCTTATATGGCAGGCAGAAGGCAGATATAAACCTCAGATATGAAATAGGAACTAAGCATATCTCTCCATAGCGTGCATTTGTCAGAGCCCTAAGTGTAATTTCTGGCTGCAGCTTTGTTCCTCTGCCATCTGCATGAGTAATTTCTGACAAGATTTCCTGACACCAAGAGAAAAAGTGACAAGGGAGCTCTAGCACACAGCCTGTGTTTGACAGCCTTAGCTCTGTCCCTATGTTCTGTGTTAATCCAATCAGCTCTCAGAGCTCTCCTCAGTGAGCTCTGCAGTGTGTAATTTCAGTTCAGCATCCCCTTTTTCCTTAGAGCTCAGAGAAGCCTTATACATTCTGGACTTTGAACGAATATAGAGAAGAGAAGACTGCAGATATAACAGGTACAACTTATGTAGGAGGATTTGTTTCATCTCTGTGTTTTACTTTAGGCCAGTCACTTCCCTGGATATACAAAAGGGTTTATAACCACTTTAACTTCAACACTGGCACCATATACTGTACATTCAAATAAAAGAAATAGCTAATACTTCTTAGAAACCATGGGATTGATTTACCAAAGGAAAATAGACTATTCACTCTTCAAGGGAATTTTCCTCAGAAATTAATGAATGTGTTAAAGTTTCACTTTGCAAAGACAACCCAATCACATGCAAGGAACGTAAAAGAAAAGAAAAAGAAAACAACATTTTTCCATGCACATGATTGGATAATAGAAGTCGGCAGCACTTCACCTCATTTACCAAGCTCTGGGAAGAAATGCCTTAAAAAGTGCAAATCTCCTTGCAGAATGAACAGTTTTTGGTAACTCAAATCCTATGTATTAATAACAGTTTCATATATTTGCAAACCTTTGTAGAAGCAATATACAATAGTGACTGTGGGTGACAGTTTGGGACAAGACGATAAATATTCATTTCTTTTGGCTGCGACTGTCACCAGCACCCCACTATATTCATGCTACCCAATCCTGGTACATTCATACACCTTGCTGAATTTGTTTTCTGGCTGGTAAATGTGATGGCAATGTGCACTTTGCTTTAGGCTGCAGACATAAGTGATGAGACCCATACAACGAGCACAGGCCATTTGTTTGTGCGTCTGGAGCCACCTGGAGTTGCATGCAGGCAGTCTATGTTACTAAATGGGGATGCAGCAGCTGTACGGACACAGCTGCACATCCTATGTTTTCAGGTATGCATGGACAGATGCATGACCCTAAACATAGATTGTGTGTGTTTGGGGCCACATGCCCACCTCTGCACAGAATGTGGAATATTTGAAGTCCAGCCTGGGTGACAATCATGGCCCTCTCCACAGATACAGTGAGGGTGCTGAGCAAATTATCACGTACAAATAAAGAAAAAAAAATGAAAAAATTAAAGTAATACAAGCACCTCATTTAACGATCAATATTCAGCAAAAGCAATTATGATAAGATTTTTGTAATGACACAGCAAAAACCCATCTAAAACCAGAAGCAATAGTGAAAAACACATGTGACAGGTGAAAACATGTCACTACTAACTACCTAACAAACTAAATATAATACACTTTATGCAAAGCAAGGGAAAAGGTTGGATAAGGAAGTCAATAAGAACAGTAAAAATGCAGGCAGGGCGCCGGACAAAGCACTCGGGACAAAATGTATGTGAAATGGTTTGATACAGTAATGGAATACTATGAGATTTTAGTGATTTTAGTGAATGTCACTTTTTGTCATTTTTGAATTTCCCGCCGTTCCGTCCCCCGTACGTCTCGACGCTCACAGGGGACGGAACCCAGATGACAGATGCCGGCATCCGCCGGATTACATTGTCGGGGACACTGCAGGAGGGACATCGTGGGAGCGCAGGACAAGGTAAGTGATACAGGGATCGTTTTGGAGCAGCGCCGCATGATATTCCCGAGTGTAGCTCGGGGTTACCGCTTGTGGTACTGAAACCTTACCCCGAGCTACACTCGGGAATACCGCCAGGGAGGTTAAGGCACTGTGAAAAGCTAGGAGAGGGGCTAGACACTTTCCCAACAGCCACCATCAAATGCACATTAAATCCTAGGACCTGCTGGTTTACACCAGAAATATACCTTTCATGTCTGAGGACCACTCTGCCACCAGCAGATGCTCTGGGTCCTGACAGGTAGCATGTATGACATTTTATATCAGGCAGCTTCATGGGTTAGCAAAGCCTTTGTTTGCTGGTTCTAATAGAAACAAAGACAACAAATAATTTCTAGTCTTTAACATATAAAATGATGTTAAGAATTTATTTTAGAACTTGAACTTAAAACCAAGAATTGGCCAAATGAGTGCTTCTTAAAGTATGTGTTTAGAATCTAACAGGTTTGGGATGGTTCCAGTAATTAGCAAGAAGATTTTGCAAAGAAGTACAAAAATGCCAGACTGACATATATTTTTAATGGAATAAAAGCTGTTAAAATAATATTTTAAGCATGTAATGGATAAGAAATGATCAGCCATAATAAAAGGCTTTAACAAGACTTACAACCAGAATGTGTGAACTGAATTGTAAGTTAGGCAATTTGCAAAATGTGTGTTGAGTCATCCAAATGTATTGATGCTAACTCGTCCAGCCTGTTAAGGCTCATACAGTTAATGAATAGGGATTGCCTAGATTTTGGATCTGTGTAATCCCATAAATATAACACAAATCTCCATGGAAATATCAAGACCCTGACCAACCTCATCTCTATTTCCAAACTATAATGCAGCATCTGCATGCTTCTGTCTTTGAGTTCAAGGATACACATCATTTTTAATGCTGTCAACTCAGTATTGTCTATGTGTGCTTCAGATGTATATCCCGTCAGGGGATACGGCCATTTACTGAGTGTTTTACATGATCCAAATGTAACCTGTATATGTTATCGTTGTGCCTCTTTTCTCAATAAAAAAAAAAAAACAAAAAAAAACTTAGTATTGTATCTCCCAACCTTTTCTGATGTACATTGTAAAGTGCATCTAGGTCAAAATGTAAAATCATACATATATTTCCACATTGTATTTCAATTATTTCTTGCCCACTCCTTTATAATCTGAATGATTTTAAAGTTTGTAAACTTACCTAGTGAGGATCCCCGCGCATTTACTTCTTTGAATTCTGAGACACACAATCACTATGCCCTGTGAGTAGGCACTGCTGTATCACACATTTCACAGAGCCTGCCTTCTGGACTACAGAGGTGCTGAGAGGAGGAGTTTCAGGAGGCAGAGTCAGTACAGGAATCACTGCTTGTAGGCAGAAAGGTGCCGTGGGCCATGTAGTCCATGGAAACTGAATGTAAACAGCAGAGGAGAAGCTGCAAAGCAAGCAGGGAATCCATGAAGTTGTGGAAAGAGATGGCCAGCAGACCGACAGAACTCGCAACATGAAAGGAGATTTTTCAAGCAAACAAATTGAGTTTTTTTGTATTTCTTTTACAATGCTGATAAAAAATGTGTATGCTGTGACCATAGAACTCTAATAGCAGAGATACCAAAGCTCAAAAGAAAGCTCAGTGTACGCATGCTATATAAGCAGCAGTAAAGTATAAAGAATGCCAGGATTTAGAGTCCAGTGTAGTTAGTACATAGCATGCTTGAATATGGATGCACTAAACGGAAACAAATACAAAAGAGAGGACACACCAGCCTAGTGCATTCCAGAGCAACACTTTATTTAAAGCAATTACCAATAAACTCACAAAAAAGTGCGTGGCTTATGCGTTTCAAGGTCAGTGCCCTCTTCCTCAGAGCCTAGTAATGCGCTATGCTGGTGCCTCTCTTTTTTGTCTTTGTTTTGGTTTTATAGTGTAAGGATCTCCCCTATCTGAAAAGGGCAGCAAGGACTTTTCATGTAGTTATCTGTTTTGTGTTGAGATTGGAAGAGGAGTACAACTCATGACTGTTTTGTGAACTTCACCAGACTCAAGGCTCATAAGCACACTTAGGGTTGATGGCTTTCTATGTTTTATATTTATGGATGCATTGAACTGTTGTACCACAATTACAAATGGAAGAATGGGTGTATCTAATCGGGAAATGCCTGAAAGTACATTGTCAGTTATTTTAGTGTTCATGCAGAAGAGTGTTGAGTATGGATACTGTGGAATTGAACTTCTGTAATGATTTATTATTATTATTATTATACAGTATTTATAAAGCGCCAATGGTTCGCTCAGCGCTGTACATTACAAAGGGGACGGAACATGTGACAGAACAATACCAATACAGTGCAAAACATGAGGGGATTGGGGGCCCTGCTCTTTCAAGCTTACAATCTAGGTCAGTTCCACTGTTCTTTAGGGAACTCATAGTGAGCATTTCTGGAATAGGGTTAGACTTGCAAAATAGATGCTTGGGGTATGCTCTCCACATATAAACAGTCTCTTGCAGAAGTGTTGGTAAGCATTAAATTATCTTTCCACCCTGAGATAGTATTCATTTATTATCTTGTGTATGCCCCCTTTAGCTTACATCTAAAGGATTGAAAATAAACATTTATTCCATTATTGCAAACCACAGAAGAACACAGGAAAGCTGGATATGTGCAGAAAAGATGGCATTTTGTGGAAATCACCCAATAGTAAATATTTTCAATGCACCTACAGTATTTTATCAATACATGAATGCCTTTTATACACACTACTTCTAATACTAATATGTTTTATATCTACTCTAGCTTATAGAAGCCTATAGTATCAAAGCCATAAGTGCTATAGACAGGAATTAGTGTTATAATTACATCTTGCACCTGCAATATATGGAATTGCTTATTTCCTGAATAGTTCAGCAAAAAAAACCTTCACACAGCCTGAAAACAATACACGGAGCATTCCCAGCTGTCCCGCTGTGCTGTATTGCACATCTGAGGTAACAGGTTTTGCCAAATCACTGCTTTCAAATTACTTCAGTTCCATCTAACTGCTGCGTTTTGTAATCCTAGGATAACTTTAGACAGCATTTTCCTTCACTAATGATTTTAAATAGCTTAATGGTTTCAAATCGCTATTAAACTATTAGTCCAGTACGCTCACTAAATAATTGGAAATTACAATAAATTGGTGAAGCTTGAATAAATAACATTTTCTTCAACAAGTTACTGATACAGAAAATCGGTTTAAAGCATGGTGTTGAAAAAAAATCTAGTCTCAATTTAGTGTGGTGTTTTATTTAAAGTATGCCTTTTAACTGGATGGTATGATTACAGCCAAAAGAGAAAAAGGACATATATATATATATTAAAAACCTTTGTGTATAATTGTGATTGTCTGTGTGACTTCTTCTGCATAGATAAATAGACATCAGATGCAGGCAAAATCTTGCAGTTATGATGATGAGTCAGTAAAACCTCAGAGGCAGTCCCACTGCTTATCATTTACATTTTTCTTTATGAACAAGACATGGTGTGGCAATATCAATAAATGTCACAGGCAATTACAAAAGCACAGTTTGAAAGAATGTATAATAAGAAATCAATTGTGCTGGATACTGTTGAAAAGATGCTGAAGATAAGACTAATACTAGTCAATATATTGCTCTGCACATGGCTGAGCCCTTCTTTAGGGATGAGCTGATGGTTTGGCTGTTTTAGACGAACGCCCAAACTTTTCCAGTTTGGCCCCCTGTTTGGCAACTATAATACTGTATATATAAAATTGGTATCTCCTCTATATATGAAAGCTTAGTGTTGTCAATGGTTCTTAAAGAAGCAATGGTTCCTTTTCCAACCATTGCTGTCACTTGGTCGTGTGCTCTGGGTCCTTTTTTTTCTTTGGGGGGGGGGGGGGGGGCAAGTTTGTGGCTGTTGTGATTGACAATGGATTTACAATGTTTTGTTTTTTTTTATATTTTTAATAAGGAACCTGTCAAATGTTTTGACATCGTTATTTGTAGGTTACATTTTTTTGTGAATGTGTAGGGGTTGTCTTTTGTTTTTTGTTTCATACTGTCACCAGTCAGTGTTTCACACCAGCAATATGATGACACTGTACTGCACTGGCAACAGTATGTAAAAAAGAAAAATATTGTGAAAAAAAACAATTTTTTTATTCCTTAGTTTTCAAAAAAATTGTGACAAAAAAAACTTGCCATGCTTCTTACTAAATACCTTGGACTGTCTACTTTCCAAAAAGGGGTCATTTGGGGGGATATTTTGTACTATCTTGGCATTTTGGGGGCCTTAAGACATGAGATGCTCTCAGTACATCAACATTTATAGGTAAAGTTGATCCAGGGAATATCCGATTGCCTCTTGAGGGATCAGGAATTAATTTTTTCCCCTGTAAGAGCAAATTGGATCATGCTTTGCTGGGGTTTTTTTTGCCTTCCTCTGAATCAACTGTGTGTATAGGATTATAATTCTTTTTTATTTTTTTTTAATGGTTCAACTGGATAGACTTTAGTCTTTTTTTAGCCAGACTAACTATGTAACTATGCAACATCAGGATTGAATAATTTTCATATATATATATATATATATATATATATATATATAGTTTGCAGACTCCATAACTTTCCTACATACTAAATGATATACACTGATTTGGGTTATTTTCACCAAAGAATTGTAGCAGAATACAGAGACCGCCCCTCGAAGACGTCATTCATGACAAAACTAGTAGGGCTTGCTGGATGCTGACGTTTGTGGAGAAAATTAAGTCACGAGCGCTGTAGTGAGTGTACGGGGAACAGGAGACTGTTATACCATTTGCTGTTTTATGCTGTTATACTGGTGTCGGTGAAGACACCCTTTTTGTGAGTGTAAATCTTTATTAAATTGTTGGATACTTTTATAAAAAAACTGGCTGCACCATGATTTTCTCTTTCATTCTCAAACATGACCTCGGTGGAGAGATATAAAAAGAGAGAGTGATATAATGCTCCTGGAGCCATTATATTGAGTGGTGGATACCTACCTTATGGATGATTGTGTAGCTATTGATCATCACACCTGAGAAGTTGATTCATTGCATCTGCTCCCAGAGC